TGGGGAATTGGTATCTATTTTGCCAAAAATGCATCATATTCTTGTGGAAGCTATGCTTATACTTTACCAAATGGGAAAAAGCAAGTATTTCTTGCTCAAGTTCTAACAGGAGATGTACATGATTGCAAGAGTGATACATCTTTACGTCGACCTCCAAAGAAAAATGAGAAAGTTTCAAATCTACGATATAATAGTGTGTCAGGTGACACAGGAGGTAGTAAAGTTTATATTGTCTATGAAAATCGTGTGATTTATCCAACTTATTTAATTACTTTTATTCCATAATTTTTAATAATTGCTATTGAGTTTTTTTTAATATTAGCTGCACTCTGTGATGAATAAATTATGTTTTTCAATAAAATAAACAAGTTTTTCTCTGAATTGATCGAGTTAAATCTCATTCATTAAAACATTCTGCTCACTTCTTCTCATTAATAAAGGTCTGCTTTATTGTTTATAATGACTTTTTTTATTTTTATTTTTTTTTACAACACAAGAACAAAGTTGTATAATAAATGTCTACCGATCGCGCATCTGTCTGTTCATAGTGGCTCGCATAGTCAACGTTTCAACACCAATACGTCTTGCTGGTCGTCGTAAATGTAGAATGTTGATAAGTTTGGTTCGAAGTTCAGGTAATGATAAAGCACAAACAAAAGGAAAAAGCGGCAACATAAAATAAGAGAAAAATCCTGCATATAGATAAAAGTCATCGAAAGCTTCAGACACTACATAGCATAGAGAGAGAATAAGGGCTACTGCAACTGGAAACAAAAATATAAGATACAGCAATGAAATAGATAGCAATTGAATTGTCATCTTTCGATATTTTCGCCATTGAATTGGTTGTTGTGCACGATGTTTTTGCCATAAAACACGTAAAAATAAAGCAAGACTAAATATAACGGCTATACACATGGGGACTATTTGATGAACTACTGTGTCGTACATAGCAAATATATATATATCATATATACATAAACTTGTACAGATCCTGTAGAAATCAAGATAGATATTTTGACAAGGTGAAAAGAAGTTTGCAATAATGTAGTAGAGAAGACAGTAGAGAAGAAGGGCGATCGTTGGAAGATAATGAACAAAGAATCGTTTCTTTCTAGTTGATATCCACTTATCATGAAAAATAAGAATATGTCTTTCGATAGTTGCCCAAGCAAAGAGTATTGTGTGTGTGACAAATAATCCCCAATCAATAAATGCCCAGAATTCACAAAAAATCATTGGTCTTTCCCATGTATCACCGTTGTGGTAATAGAAATATATCATCCATGGATATGTTGTTATTAGAGTGATAAGATCAATGATAAGAATAATAATAATAATATGATTATTGAGAGCATGACGAAGAGTTCGATCAAAAAGAAGATTATAAAGAACAAATAATAAACAGATAAATGATGGAATAAGTAAGATAAGCATTGACCAAAACCAGACTGTATTAGATACCATTATTCTGACGAATAAAACTGCTTTTCTTTTATTGATGTTTGAGCGGACAAGAAATTGTGAGAATGAATATGAGGTGAAAAAGTATTTTATCTCATTTTCCACTTCGTCGCAATAATACGTTAATGCATTTTATCTGTCTTTTTGTCGGTAATTCTACAAATAGAACGAGACATTTTTCATTAAAATTAATTAAAAAATGGTAAATATAAATGTTGAAAGTATGTTCATTATAAAGATTATGGTCGAATAATTATTCTAACTGCTAAATATATAAATATGTATTGACAACATATACTCGTATACAGGAGACAAAAGAAAAATCTTGTTACTGTTTATTTTATTTTATTTGAAGTGATTTTTCGAACTAAGCACATCAGTCCATACTCTGTTTCTTTATATTAATTATTTTGTTAAATATCATGATATTTATTTAAGTTCGATCTTCTACCGAACATCTTCAACGAAAAATGATTAATATATATATTGATGCATTCTAAGCATATTTAATCAAGAAGGATTAGCCATCAATAGATTTGTATATCATATCAGATGATATTAGTTAAATCGAAAATGAATTACAAAATATAGACTAAGATTTTAGAAGAAATTTTCCATGTTATTTACATAAAAAAATATAATACTATGCTAGATATGATGATTCATCTAAAATTCATATTTTTTTTAACGATAGAAATAAAAATAAAATATTTTAAGAAAGATTTCATAAGAGAGTTATTCTCTTCTCATTACTATTCAATTGAATATTTGATAAGGCAATTCTGCTGAAGTCAATATTATCATTCAGAACCGTATATAATGCATCTTTTATATTAAATATTTATTTATTTTAGTCACTTACAATAGAATCATTAGTACTGAAAGATTATATTTTATTATTCATAGTTCGTTAAATTCATTATAGTATTTTTTTTATTAATACCCATGTAAACATGAAACGCAGAATAGACGCGTATATACGCAGTTATACAAAATATCCAAACGCATTTGAAGGCGATCTTGTATAGAAGCGCACTTAGACGCAATTGTATACATTTTTCGAACGCGGTTGAACGCGATCGTTAGTTAAAATGCGTTTGTACGCGATCAATGAGACTTATTCAAACGCATCTCAACGTGTTTGGGTGTGGGTGTGGGTGAGTGTGAGAAGTAAAAAGAGACACACCCACACCCACACCCACCCACAATATACCAAAAGATGCAACGTGAAAAACAGTGCAATTCACATAAGGCCGCTTATTTTATAGTTGCACTTCTTCATTTTCAAAATAGATAAATATTGAGTGATCAAATTTCATCCGCGCCAAAATGGCATATTTTTTTTCTTCTTTCATCTTGTTATTATATTTATCCTTTGTAAATAG